ACAAAAGTCTATTTCAGCAAAGAATAGCAACTAAAATATGGTCATATTTAAAAAAAAAAAAAAAAACAAAATCCCAAACCAACAACAACCATGCCTAAGACGATATTAAAAAAAAAACAACAACCACCACCAAACCAACACACTTTATATCTTTTGCTGTTCTGTGTGTTCACAACACCGATTGTAGAAGATTTTACCAGATGCTAGGAAATTTTTGCCAGGATGTGTTCAAATGAAATGACTTCCAAAATAAGAGACAATCTGGAGGTTAATAAAAAAAACTTACCACCTTCCTAAGTTCCCACAAATAATAAGCTTAAAACGTCAGAAAATTTCCAGCTATCAGATATTTCAATACTCAATTTACTGTGGGTTTTTTTTCTGAGGCACATTCAGAGAAATGGCTAAAGGAACTGTAATGGCCTTCTGGGACAGGAAGACCAAGGTTTCTGTAAAAAAATGTTAAATTAATTTTTATAGTGATGCAAAGTCAGGGAAGGGTTGTTAAGAGATGGCCTGTTGCCACAGGGTGGAGGTTTGTTTTGGTATCCTTTTAGAGTCTGCAGGTGTTTGGCAGGAGCTGAAATCAGGGCCAGCTGTGGTATTTCAGCTCTGATATTTCCCTCCCCATATTTCTCAGAAGTGATGCATCAGGGTGATGTCTTACACCTGATGTACTCAACTTGTGTGGTATGACTGTAACTGCTGGGGGGGGTGAGGGGGGGTGTACCACCGCATGGCTCCTTTTTATTTTCAGCTGGCAACATTCATATAGTAAAATTCATCAACATGAATGGATTTAATCTGGTAAAACATCAGATAACAATTTATTAAACTGCCCATAATATTTCTGGGTTGTTTTGTTGCTTCTTACATATGCCAGGCATTTAATTAAAGTAATAAGGCTGTATAAGCATGGTGAAAGAAATTACATTGCGAAAAAGGGGAAGCTAATGTTTTAAAGAAAACAGAAAAACCTTCAGTCCCCTCACTTAACCAGCAAAGATCTTTGTTCTTTCATACTTAGCTGCAGTACAGTGCGTACCTGGTTTTGTTTTATCTTTTGGGAGAATTTGAATAGTTTCTTTTAAAAATTATATTCTCTTTTAAGTTTGTTTTGTTTGGAAAACCTCAGACCACTTTGTATTTCATACACATGTTCCCCAGGGTATGTGAAATGGGACCATACTGAGGTCACTAGTAAGTTTTTAAAACGCTTTAAGAATTCCTTTAATGTTTGTACTATCTTGGCCTGGTTAAAAGAACACATTTTTAAAATATAGCTTGAAGAATTTTGGCTATAAAAAGCTTCATTAAAATAGTCTATACTGTACTATTAAGAGTTTCTAAGAACTTTTACAAACATTCTTTCCTCCCTCTCATTTTTAAGAAAATTGTTCCCTTAACCAGTGAATCTGCTCCTCTTTCTCTCAGCCTTCTTATCCACACATGCACAAGCACACACATACTTCTATCCACAGACTGATTGACTTAGCAGTGCAAATGACTATGGTATTCATTTTAACTTCATAAATGAATAAAAGATTATAATCAGTGGGGAAAGTGGATGTTTCACTCCATTCATGGAAAAAACAGTATCACCTGGCACTCCAACTAAGTAACAAAATTCTTTGTTTTTGGCAGCTCATTTGGAGTATGATTGAAGCTGTTAATGATATTAACAAAATGTCCTGGGATCAAAAATTCGTTGTTTTATCTCAGTTTATAGAAGAAGTTATACAAACCACTCTTGGCCTTCAGAGTTCTGAGGTTCTTTTAGTTAAATTAAAATATAACTTAAAAACATGACCCACCTGTAGCTGATTAAGTTCCATTAAACATTTCCAATCATGTCCTTTTCTTGCCTTTCCTGCCTCCTGAGACTTGCTTCCATTCCTCGCTTGTATTATTCCAACCTCCTCCCAGGATTCCTGTCTTTGGCTGGTACCAGCCAGGTGCACCCTTTGCAGCATTACTGACAGCTGAGCTAGCAAATTCGTCGATGACACCCATGCAGTGCATCTTGGTCACTAACGGTGCCAGACCACACCTACATGAATGCTGGCTGCATTATGGGTATCCAAATCCATACATCAAATAGGAAGACTATGGCAACAAAATGAAGCTAAAAAATGGAATTGTGTTTAGAACCAATTCTGCTGGTAACACCCAAAATGGAAAAGGTTAGCAAAACCTAAGTATTACCTATTAGAGGTAGACTAGAGTTTGTCTATATCGAAGTATCACCAGGTTTGAAGTTTTTCCAGAGTCTTTGCAATGGTTGAAAGCAAATGAATATGAAAAGCAGATTATTGCATTATGATAAACTGTTTCATTTTACATCACACTGTTTGTAAGTAAGGTTATTAAATGCAACCCGAGTGACATCCTTCTTAGAAATGTATTTTGTGATCTAAACTGAGCCTGAGAAAACCCACCATATTATAATAGGAGCACTGTGAAGAATGATTACCAAGTTCTCATACTTAATGACTGGTTTCAGCTTTACACGTGAGAAAAATCTTGTGGTGATTACAATATGTTGTTCTTGTTGCGTGCTTGTTTTCCCTGTTATGACTGGGATTTCATAGTGCAGAGGATACTTACATTACAGATTCTGGAGTGTTGCTAGACTTCTTCCCTAGTCTTAGGCATAGTCTCAGGGCTCTGCGATGCTTTTTGACGTTTCAGAAACCAAAATTGCAGACTGGCTTATGAAAGAGCAAAGCTATACACAAGCATGTGTTTTTATCTAAGACGTGTGCTGTCTGTACAGCAACAGAAAGATGAACAAGTGGAGACAGATTGGGCAAGGTACAACAGCAAAAACTACAGTTCAGAAGAAATGTGAAGGTGAAAAAGCTTTGCCTGAACAGTCCTTAGGCCTCCAAATCCAAGCTATGGATAAGTGAATCAGGGCAATGAAGCCACCTGTGAAGGTCTGAAGTCTCCACCATCAAAATAAAACTTTGTGTAAAAATCAGAAAAATATACTTCAGAGGCTGAGTATGCTACTCTCAAAATTGCTGGCCTGCTGGACAGTCTCTCAGATACATAAAGGTAGAGTGGGAGACTTAATTTTATATAAGTGATGTAAAGTAAATATCTTGCCATAAGAGCGATACCTTAAAATGTCAACACTTCTGTGTATTTCAAGAAAGAACAGGAAAGAACCGCATTCTTTTTTTTTTTCTTCCCCTCCCCCTGAACAGAGCCATAACTGTGAGAAAATGCTTAAGGAGGCAGGCAGCCCCAGAAATGAAACAAATGCATACACACAGATGCAGCATCGCCACAAACAAAGAACAACATTTCATTTCCCATAGTAGTAAGAGCACAATGTCTGAGTGCCACTTCTTTCAGAGACAGGCATAGAAAAGACACCATTTTCAAGCAGTTCCTGGGGGTGGGGGGTGTGTGAGATCAGTATGTCCCTTTACCAGAAAATACTTTGAAAAACCTGCCATACGGTGGTATCTGACTGCAAAGCACTGCAGTACCTTTTATGGATAGGCTAACTATGTCAGGTTATATATATATATAACGTAATTATAATACATACAATAATTATTCATACAAATAATATTTAGGTGAATTCTAACAAAAAGCAAGGCAACCAAGCCAACCTCTTTTTAATTTGGGAGGTAATGGCCATCCCATAACATCCTATGTTTTAAAAAGCCATCTCTTTGAGAGTGGATCTGACTTTCTTAAAAGTTGCACTGTCAAAAAAAAAAAAAATCTCGAAGAATATTTTTCCAATGCTGCACCAAGTACAGCCAAGTCAACCCCGTTCTGAGTAAAATACTCTCGCTGTGTGTTCTTCAAAGCCCAAGATTAATCCCTCTGAAAGTTATGAAGTGGAAAATCTGGTCCATGCATACTTCACAGCATGGTACTACATCACTTGAAGGAGAAAGAGCATATTTACGTAAGAAAAAAAAAACCAAATTCTTTCCTTGCAGTAGCCTAACAAATATTGTCCTATACCTCTAAAAGTATAATAAACATCTTTATAACAAACACATTTATTATAAACATATTCCCTTATGATAGAGATTGTTTTGCCTGTTCTTCTTTCCCAAAGACTGCAATGGGATTCGAAATCCTGACAAACACTTCTTGACAGCAGACATGGCACATACAAAATTGGCTGCTTTCTTTTTCCTCCAACGGCTAATCATTTTTCCGGTTACTCCCATTATTAGAAATTAATTTAATGGAGATTGATTACACAACAGAATAGCTGTAAAATACTCTAATATTCAAGAAAGTATAATTCAGTTTGGTTGGGCCCTTTAACCCATCATAAGCCAGAGGGTGAGAAGGGAAAGGGTCAGAGAATACACAGACAACATAACTACAGATACTTAGAAGTAAAAATAGTGTTTATAATTAAGTATAGATGCAATTCAGAGAAAGACTTAACATTTAAAGTAAACAAATAAAAAGCTGAAGCGTTCTCAGCCAGGGAAACAACCAGTCCAAGAAAAGGTTAAAAATCTTTCTGTATATGACTTTTGTGCTTCATTTTTCTGTTTCCAGTCAAAAAGTTGCCCATTTCTTTCAAACAGTATAGATTTTGGTTATCCATACTCTATACAGAAAATTATTTGCTTGTGGACAGCAAGAAATGTACTTCTCTGCATATTTACCTGACCAATGCAATTACATAATATATTACACTTTCTTTCCCTGTTTTACCAGCCATTTTTAAAAGACAGCCTCCATACAAGACATGGAATAACCTACAGTTTAATGCATTATGGCAAAATCTGTGTTCCCAAGCATATAATTCATTTAAGGATCTGTATTTATTTGTTATTATTCCATACTACTGGCTTAAACTCAATCCACTATATTACTCAATCTACCATATAACTCTCAAATTCCATTTTAAAGCATCTGAAATCAGGTCTGAGTGGCAGGAAAAGTGATCATTACTCAGCATTTGCAAAACACGTGTAACAATGTATAGAAAAGACTTGGTGAGAACCAACCTGAGGATCCGAGAATACTTCTTGCATATTGTTGATTGGGCCATATGGAACCCCGCTACCTTCAAAGAGCTGCAACCATTCGATCGTTGCTTTTTCTGAAAACCTAAGAGCAAATAAGAAGCATGTGGTTTCAACTCCATGCTTTCAGATTCCGAAAAATGTCTACCCTGTCTCCTCCCTCTCTCACTGCTTCCATACTCTTCCCCACTGATTTCTTCCCAGGCAGCGAATAACATCATGAAAATTTACTGCACGTGTTCTTCAGAAAGGCAAAACCCAAAGACATAGGGGAAAAAACATAGCTGAACTGACTTCTATCTGATCATCTGCAGCAATCCAGCAATGACATCAAGCTAAATTTATCAGCAGTTTCAAATAAGGATCAATGGGTTTCCTCCAGTCCTTAATTAACACTAATGTGCTTCACATTTGCTTTCTTTTATGTCTGCCTTTAACAACAAAAAGATAGAAGTAATGTGGGTACGAGTCTAACATACAACACTGCTCACTAAAAACTGATGTAAAGCACCACAGTGTTCTTCCTCCATTACATGCAAAACATATGTCAGGATTAACAGTCACATTTTTTGGTCAGATAACAACATTGATTACATACTTCTTCGTTGTATGATTGTATAACGAATCCTGCTGTGCCTATGCTGGCGAACACAGAGCTCCACGTCCTTCTATCACACACAAAACGCTCAGCGTCTTTCCCTCTCAGCATTCAATTCCCTAACTGCTAGCACCACTCTATTGCTCCTCTTTTGCTACACGCTTTTTCTTTCCTCGTCTGCCCAGCAGAGTTACACACATGAAGCAAACGCACTCTTGAAGCCACACCAGCCACTGAGAGATGGTATTTTCTGCAGTCACCTGGGATTCTGAATCAAAGGTGAACTTGTTTGGAGATCGTATCTTAAGTTTCACGAAGGTACATAACACAGAGGTCTACCAGATTATTAGAAAGGAAAGATCTACTTCAGGCTACGTACAGCACTAAAGGAAATTAGGTGTGATCTAAAGACCTCATGGAAATGAAATTACCAGAAATCTTGATCAGGGACGCTCACTGGTATTCTGTAGCTCACCGGTTCAGAGTTCTCCACAACAATGTCAGTAACATTCAGCTTTACTTCTAGCATGTGAGTACGCAAAAAAATCCCTTCCAAGTTTCTGACAGAAAGTTAATAGAGACAAAGCCCCAAACCCCCTAAATCAGTACAAAGTCAAACTTTGTAAACTTCTTTTTATACATATGCAGAGGTTGGCTGCATTTCATGCTGCTTTCAGGCTAAAGAAAAAAAGCTAGCGATGGTGACAAGTTACAGTTATGCGAAGTATATGGCATAGGTATGGATCCAAGCTTCACAGTAAATGTCTTTCTCGCTGTGCAGGAACAACTTTCCCAAGCTTTGAGAGAATAAAGCCTGATACTCAATGCATTTTGTACTCTAAATAAACAGGAAAATGCACAAGTTTTGCACTGCTCTTCCTCCCAAGAATACACGTGAAGTTAACAAATAATACTAGTAGAAATGGAAAGAGCAACAATACGGAAAAATCAGAATAAAAAACTTTAAAAGTGCGAAATGTATTATAAAATGAAGCATCGCTTCTAAAGTAAACAGGTATAAGATTATTGAGCTGTTCAACCATGCGTTTCATTGGATATTACAGTTATTTCATGGTAAAGATGTAGTCAGTCATAAAGATAATGCCACTCTTGGACACATCTAGGGACCATCTAATTTAGCACTGTATTGCTGACCATACCTAGAACCACATACATTACATGAAACTGCAGAAAAAGGTAACTATAGAGAGGTAGATAACCTTCCTTCTTCAGTGATTGCAGCCATTAGGAAAGCATGATTTTAACCAAAAATATAATTCCTATTTCCCTTCTGTTACTAAGGTTTGGCGCTCAAACTACTGCACAGTCGAAATCTGATTCACACAAAAAACTGTTTCCCATCAGCTACTGGCGCTATTTATACAAAACTATGCTGTTCTCTGCTAGCAGCTGAGACACCTCCTTCCTGAGATGCTTCATAACCCATGGCCCACTAACTCCCTTTTTAGAAATGAAAAGCTTTTTTCAGCTACTACTTTTTCCTGACACCTCAACCTCCGCTACGCTCTCTTTTCTAACAAAAGACAGCACATCTGCAAGAGGACTCTTGGGCTCCACAGCATAACTATGGCTGAAGATCATCAGTAAGAAATTATTCTAATTCTTAATATCTGTATCATCATTCCCTTGATCTATTTGTAATGAATAAACCCTGCTGTGTTATGTTTCTTATTTAACAAAGCCTATATATATCACCCCAAGTTTAAAAAAGCAAACAACTTGTGGATTTAAAGGATAGTCTGAAAATGAAGTCTTTTCAGTGGAGTGCCAATGATCTACAACTGCATAATCAGTATGTTACTTCCTGATGTCATGGTAAATATGAATACTTTTGAAGACATACATTCACATTCAGTAACATTATTCCACGTGACTCCATACACAGTGAAGTGGAGTGCATGTTTTGCAAAATTTCTATGGGGTGTAGGAACTTCTGAAATCTTGGCTTCTGCTTAGAATTTTCCTTCCTATGAAACAGACAAAAAAAATTACCACAATTTTGTAGAAAACAAGTGAAGGTCTGTTTCAAAACATAATTGTTTTGAATGGACGTAACAATTGTCTTAGTCTTACTTATTAGTTTGTTTATTGGTGGTTGGAAAGAATTCCTAAAAGCTTTAAACTCTATCAAAGATGTAAAATCCCACATTCTATCACCCTCAAAGGAGACACACAGCATTTTCTCCTGAAATTGAAACTCTTGACCTAAACCTGATACAGAATAGCTTCCTTTATTTGTGGTAGAAAAAGGCTGTTCAGAGTATATTGTTAAGCAAACTGCTTAAAAACAAAACAGAACACCACCACTGCCAATAAAGGCCTATTATTCAGATTTTGAGACCAACAGCATGCAATGTTTGGTTCATTCACCTGTGTTTTATATCTTGAAACATCTATTGTAGAGCATTAAGGGAGAAATATTGTTTCAAAACCTGATTAAAGATAAGGCATGGATTAAAAAAAACCCCAAGTTTACCTCTCTGATGTCAGCTGTACAAGCTGCATGAACTTTGAATTTATTTTTCTTTTGCTAACCTGTATGTACCACCCCCTCCATCTAAATATAACTTTTAACGTACTTACACAAATAAATACCATAAGCTTTCCTTATAGCAAAGGGCTGATGTTTAGGTTGCTAGGTATCAACTGATACCATGCTCAGCACTCCAAAATATCAAGTAAAGACCTCCAACAAAAACTTCCAAGAAAAGTAAAAGACTGAAATTCTCTCCTGAAAATGAAAAGCTCTATCAGCAGGGACTTACAAGGCCCAGCAGGAACTTACAAGGCCTGGCCAATCCTTTTCCCTTCAACACTTGTTTTAAAACATTTTTCCATGCTTTGGTATTGTCTTTTATAAATATCCTACTTAGCATACAATTCCCTTTTCTTGACTGAAAAATTTACAATGTCATCTGCTGTCTTTCAGCGGGAAATAAGTAACTTTTATATACACATATAAATAAAATCACTGATGGAAACACGTTCAAGGCTAAACAATGGTCCGTCTCCCAAACAAAAGCTAGTAAAAAAAAAAAATCCCAGACTGTACAGCATCTGAACTCTGAAGCATGACACTTGCAAACGAAACTTTATCTGTCCATGGAACCTTAACGATACCCAGTGACTGCAGGAGAACTCCGCCATCTGATTCACACTACAGCTCCGTGTATTTCCAGATGAGCCCCTTTTCCCTCTAAGATGTTCTATCTGCTACAGATATAGGCACATAAATGCCATTTAAATTATCTATAATTCATTTGTAGAATTATTTTAAATCTGTAGCTTAGCTTTCTACAGTTATTACTAGTATTTTAGAAATTCAGAAGAATTTACTTTTTACTGTACTAGTCTGTGGTATGAAGCTTGAACGAAAGCTTTTTCTGAAAACAGCTCTGAAAAAAGAAGGATCTGTACCCCAATGGAGAACAAACCCATTGCTAGGGCCTCTACTGCAATGCCTGTACTAAGGCTTACTTCACTAAAAGAGGCAGTAGTTTCCATCATGTCTTCTTTGCATTTTAAGCAGTACTCTAAGCCTCCTCTGCACTGAATTACACAGCACTTGTGAAGCTACTGAAGGTGCAATGCTGAAATGAGGCGATTCTGAAACATTTAGCACTAAAGATATTTCATGCTTAAAAATATTATAAGAATAGAAAGCATAGCATGAGCTGAACTAATTGAAATGTTATTTCATGGGAAGAAATCCAACTAAATATATTTTCCCTCAATTCGTAAATCTAGCAGGCACCATTAAATGAAAATCTTTAAATTTAAAGTATGTACTCAGTAAATTAATCTAAAACCATTACAGCACAATATAAGAAAGAGCCTCCAAAAGCCCAAAAATTAAATATCAGACAAAAAGGGCTTACACCTTATTTCCTTGCACAAATCACAAGTGCAGTTTTGCTTCTTAAAAAGCAAGACCTAAATCCCCTTCTGCTTTCTAACAAATTCTAATTAAAAAAAAAGGGAGAATGGATCGTTAATTGTGAAAAAGAGAGTGTCTGCTTGACTTGCACAGGTTGCATGAAATGGTTTCAGTGAGTTAGAAACGTACCTGAGTTCTGTTAAAATGTATGAAGCTTCTCATCCTGTTAATAATTCATGTAAACTTTGTTTCTTTTTTAGCAAATATTCTGGCTTTCAATGGAATAAAGACTTCTAAAGCATGAATGAATCCACTTTGTGTGCATTCTTTGCATCTATCCCATTTTCCCTGTTTCCTAGGAAACCTTCAGTCATTGCTACATCCTATGTGGAAGGGCATGCACATTTCTCCAATGGATAAAACCACCCAATTCCACACAAAGTAAGTTTAGAAGAACTACTGAAGCAAAATGCTGCTCTTTTCTATAGGAAGCTTACGGCAATTAATGCAGAGAAGTAATTTGGACAGCTACCAAATGCAGATGGAACAGCAACATCTAAGATTAGTAATAGCTTTTTACATGCAGTCA